ACAGAGGGACGGCCGCAGCGAGGACGGTGACGGCCGGCCGACCGACTGCATTCGCCTCTCGAGACAATGTACACCGCACAGACTCAACACCAGAGCGAACGATCATTGGCCAGCAAACTGCGCTTCCAAGCCAACACAGAAAACGGAAGCTGGTCATTTCTTCTCAATGGCAAATGGAAGCACCTCAAAACCTATGGGGCAGTAACGGCATAACTCACGTCTCCGGTGCACACATAAGTTCCTTTGTGCAGCGGCTGCAGTATATCGATATATCATATATGTATAGGTATATCTATATAATATAATACAAATTAGTGTATGCAATATATCGCTGTGTGGCAGCTACTGCAAGCTGTGATTTCTTGAGCGATTTGATCAAATGTAACACTATGTTATTGGACTGGACTTTCTGACCTTTCCATCCAGGTATATAACATATGACAAAGGCGACACAATTACCCGGCACATGTAATGGCTCTTACCAATGTGGAGATGCTTTCATTAAAAAATTTAGTCCAAGCCTTTAGTCCAAGCCTGTACACATTTACACCTGCAACCAAACGCCAGTACGCCAACCCAGGCGATAACGCGACGCCATCGGCAGACCTGTCTGGCCCACTCAAAGCCTTATTTTTCCGCGGCCGAGGTAGGGGGTAGGTGGGGAGGCGTGGAGTCAGGCCCAGTCAGCAGACCTTTTCTGGTTGGACTGATGCCACTCCACCGGGCGGTGCGGGTCGCCGGGTGGGGCGCCGGAGGGAGTGGCGCCAGTAGACCAGCCCGGGCCCGGCCGGACTGCCGGCTGCCAGCTGGCGGGCGTGGCCGGCGCTCGGCGAGCGGCGGGCGGCGGGCGGCGGGCGGCCGCGGGGGGCGGCGGCCCGCTTGGCAAGCGCCGTAGCTCGTCCCGGCGACAAACGGACCGACCGCCGTGAAGATAACAGTCGCAACGGCGCATGGATAATAATGAAGAATGATCGGCGCCACCCGGGGGCGCAGTGTGGCCCGTCCAACGATATGGTGCTGGAATGTCCATCCGCCCGGCCGTCCGCGCACGTGACGTGTTTTTTGAAGCATGCATGTCACGAGAGACACGGAAAGGGGACGGCAGGGGCAAAAGCAAGACAGGGGCAAAAACGATCCAGACATTTTTTCTCAATTCTAAACTGGGCGTCACGCGTGATGGATGAAACCATACTGTCAACATTAGAATTCTCGAGTCCATGCTGCGGACGTCTTTACGCTTCTGGTGGCACATGGTGAGGCACGCCCAAAACCCGGAAACTGTGCAAACGTATCGAGGCCAATGCGGAAGGCATTCACATTGAGCATACAAAGCATATGCAAGCCCCCAAAATATGCAAAGCCTACGAGCAAATCGTGCCGCCTCAGGCAAAACCCTATTAGGAGTCAGCGAGCGCCTCAGGAGTGCGCCACCTGGGGACGGCCGTCCACTGAAGGCGCTGCGACCCGGTCCCGGTAGCTGGGCCGGGAGGTCGTCTGGGTCAGTCACGCCGCGAACGGCACGCGGTCAAGCTGCAGTTGGGCCGCCGCCGGGGTGCCATCAGAGTGCCATCACGGTGCCATCAGGGTGTCATCGGGGCGCCATCGGACCGCCGTCCGGCTGCCGTCGGGGTGCCATCTGGGTGCCATCGGACCGCCGTCCGGCCGCCGTCGGGCCGCCGTTGGGCTGCCGTCAGGGTGCCGTCGGGGTGCCGTCGGGGTGCCGCCGGGGTGCCGTGGGGGTGCCGTCGGGCCGCCGTGGGGCTGCCGTCATGGTGCCGTCGGGGTGCCGCCGGGGTGCCGTGGGGGTGCCGTCGGGTCGCCGTCGGGGTGCCGTCGGGGTGCCGTCGGGGTGTCATCGGGCCGCTGTCGGGCCACCACCCCCTGCCTGATGAAGCTGGCCGCACGGGCCGTCAACAGCACGGCAACGTCTCTCAAGAGGTGCGGTGGCGGCGGCGGCGGCGGCGGCAGCAAAACAATGCCGACCGAGAGCGCGACGGGTCCGACGGGACCCGCTGGACGCCGCGCCACGACAAACAGCACGCTGACCGGCTGCCTGGAGTGGGGGCAAACAGCGCGCATACCGGCTGCCTGGGGTCGGCGCCGTCAGCCAGCGGGTCCGCCGTCATATGTCGTGTGTCGTTTGATGTCCCTTGGCATCCTCCGTCCCCCCGGTACGCGGCCGCCACGCTGCGGCGCCCGCCGACACGGCGCTGGACTGACTCAACACTAGCATCGCCCAGATTGGAGAGCTGGCAACATTGCCGAGAACTTGACAACATCTGCTCGATAGAACCAAGTGCAAAATGCTTCGATCACATCTGGTTGATGATACAACGTAACGGCTGAGGCTTATCAGGAATCATTATTGTCACCATCATACCACCATCGCCACACACCTATATTTACTTTACATTGAGTGCACTTCTAAAGCCTTTGCCCTGCTATCGCTGGCATATAATGGCGTGTATCACGGCCTGGGCAGCGGCTTACTATGCAAACTAAGTATGCATGAGCATGGCATTAGTGACAAAACGCGACGCAATCTAGACAAAGTCTCCGAAACACCTTCCCGGCCTATCCCAATATCCAAGAGAGCCGTGCGATCCGTAAGAAATCGACACGTCATCATCTGATGAGGCAGGGCGGCGCCGGAGCAGTTATAATCCGACGGCTGGGACTACTGCTGACCTAAGCGGGGATGTATGGGAGGAAAAATACGTGAGCCTGATAACGATGGATTACTTAAGCTTCGGCACTGCTCGACTGCTTGATCCTACACCATCCGTAAGATGTAGCGTCCGAATGGCAGCCACTGCGGCGGTCTGCGCGACAGGCCGTTTGTTGGCTACGCGCAAACCCAGCTAAACGTCTCCTGCCGACACAACCTAAGCAGCCCAAGCCGCGGAAAGCCAGCTGGATCAGGCTGTCTGCCGGACTGCGAAGGATGGCGGAGTGGGCTCTATCTCACAATCTGTGGAAAACTCACGTCGGGCTGGTGGAAGGCGTCTATCTTACAGTCCGTGGAAAGCATACGTCGGGCTGGTGGAAGGGGTCAATCTCACAATCTGTGGAAAACCCACGTCGGGCTGGTGGAGGGGCTCTGTCCCACAGTCCGTGGAAAACCCACGTCGGGCTGATGCAGGGGGTCTATCTCACAGTCCGTGGAAAACCCACGTCGGGCTGGCGGGGGGGGGGTCTATCTCACAGTCCGTGAAAAACCCACGTCGGGCTGGCGGAGGGGGTCTTTCTCACAGTCCGTGGAAAACCCACGTCGGGCTGGTGGAGGGGGTCTATCTCACAATCTGTGGGGGACCTGGGTCGGGCTGACGGAGGGGGTCTATCTCACAGTCTGTCGAGGACCCGGGTCGGGCCGGCGGAGGGGTCTATCTCACAGCCTGTGGAAACCTGGATCGGACAGGTGGAACTGTCTGTGGCGTGAGCGTGCCATCCGCAAATGACGAGTGTCCCGTCTACCACCACACTAGCTGGCGGCGGTCGAGCCTCAGTCTCGTTAGGCCGGCCTCCACCTGCGGTGATCACGGCTCGGCTCGGGCCGGTGGGGCAGCCGTCACAGGGCCGGTGGGGCAGCCGTCACAGGGCCGGTGGGGCAGCCGTCACAGGGCCAGCGGGGCAGCCATCACAGGGCCAGGGGGGCAGCCATCACAGGGCTGGTGGGGCAGCCGTCACAGGGCCAGCGGGGCAGCCATCGCAGGGCTGGTGGGGCAGCCGTCACAGGGCCAGGGGGGCATCCATCACAGGGCCGGTGGGGCAGCCGTTACAGGGCCGGCGGGCTGCCGCGACGGGGACACGTCATGGCAAAAGTGGAGGAGGAGAGGCGAGGCTGGCTCCCTGGAGCGGCGTCTTACGCGTTGGTGGGAGGTCAAGTTTAGCACGACCTTAACACTTCTTTGTGATCCATCTGACTATGAATGAAATGCTGTCTTAACAGTAATCGGAAACCCATTTCGTATGCTATGTGAACAATTTGCATACAAATGACGCTCCAAGCGATACCTCGGGGATGATTTAATAGCCACACAAGAGCCACAATGGGCATGCAAGAGAAGCCGGAGCGTCGGAGTCCGGTTTCACAAAACCACAAAACCAAAAGCTTGTTGACTGAGCTCCTAGATTTACGATTGACTACAATTTAAGCGATTTTGGACTGCCCGATCTTGAGACCCTTGCAACCGAAATCAATGCATCTGATCCCGTTATCAACAAGCACGCCCGGTCACTGCCAGAGCGGGCCAACAACAGATGTCCGCGTGTGCCCTGAATAGACGCCTCCGGAAACCGGAAGCTTCAGAAAGAGCAAACGTGGCGAAGGAAGTGGTGTCGGTGGAGCAGACAGCCGCCGACCGGAGCCGCGGCATGGGCAGGACTCTGCGGCCGCTGCCGCCGCCGGTCGGTCGAACGTCGCTGGTGCGGCCGGCACGGCGCGGCGCCAGCCGGTCGGCCGCGTTCGGTCTCGTCCAAGGCAGCCGGCCCCCGCCCGCGTTCTCAAAACGTCATCAACAGAGCGTCACACGGCATTTCGGCTTAACGCCGCCAACCGTCAGAATGACCACCTCGCCGCGAATCCACGCCTTCGCGAACGACAGTGGCTGATGACGCGTGGTTTGCTTCCCTGTACTGTGGCTATCAACTTTATCCACGTTGACGCCAGGCCGGATTTTAGCGTGGATCGACATGCCACGAGTCCCACTTAGACAGCGAACGCACGGTTCGCCGGCCGAACTTTGGTCACGAACGGGGGCCTCGTTGGCTTCCGCCACCAAAACAGCTACGAAGCCACCACGAAAACAAGCGAGCAATCGACTCTTCTATGCTAGAGGCTGTCACTGATTGTACACGCGCGAACGCAGATTCCACACGCCGGTCCGGGCGGCGGCGGCGGCGGCGGCGGCGGCGGCGGCGGCTCTCACGCAGCCCGGTCGGTTTCGGGGGCGAGGGGGAAGGGGAGGGAGCGCCGACGGCGGCCGTCAGTCTGTACTCACGCAAGTTCTTGCAGCGCACGATGTCGGCGCTGAAGGGCACCAGTAGGTAGTCACACGCCTCGCGCAGCTCTGGCACGCTGACTGACGGCGGGCAGCGCACCGTGCCTGTCTTGTAGAAGTCCAGCACGGCGCGGAACACGGTGGCGCTGATGCCCTCGGCCACGTTGTACTCGCCCCGTTCGTTGGTGTGCACAAATTCCAGACCAGACGAGAACATGCTGCCGGAGGACAGGCATTCGGCCGGTCACGTCCCCCTGGCATGTGTCCGCAGAGAAAACCGCGATGGTGGGGCCTCCAGGGCCCCACCATCGCGGGTTGGTGGAGCCTCTAGGTCATCAAACTCGCTAATGTTAAAGGTATTAAAAAAACCTCCGCTACACCCTACGCCCCAAAACCGAAAGCGTTCTACCCCATTCACCTCAAAAGTATTCTATACCCCTCCGCTTGATCTGTCCCGGGGGGGGGGGGGGGATGGGGTCGTAATGTTCTGGTGCTGCTCCCTTGATATCTCGGCAATCATTCCAGTCACCCTCTTTAAAAAAGGCTGTGAATTTATCAAAACACAGGCTATATTTTTCAACACAAAAATGCAATAGCCCATGCAAGGGTGCTACAGGGAATGACAAAAGTACAAGCCACAGAGGCGGCTTTGATTAGGTACTGCTATCGCGTATATGGCCCGATTTCGTATGCAACTAACGTGATTTAATACAAATGTACGTATGCCGTGCGTTATGCGAGATATTTTAAAAACTTAGAAACTACAGACGTTGAGGGAGTTTTGGCAATGCAAATTATTTTTGTTTACCTAGTGTGGAGATTTTCATGACGTTAACAATATATGACATGACTGTATCAACTGTGCGCATTTCCTACAATTTTATTGCAAATGCAGGCAGAGATGGTCGGGCGTAGTTCGTCAGGGGTAAATCGTCAGGGGTAATTCGTCAGGGGTAATTCGTCAGGGGTAATTCGTCAGGGGTAATTCGTCAGGGGTAAATCGTCAAGGGTAAATCGTCAGGGGTAATTCGTCACGGGTAAATCGTGAGGGGTAATACCGCGAAGGCATATGCCTCCGTGGCATTAAGGGCATGGGCGTGGCAAATTTGGACGGTTTGTTGCACATTACCATTAAATACTCTCATGTGATGCCATATAATTAATACATATGATCTTGGATCGGTCGGTCCTCGCTGGGAAGGACGACACACGACTATCCCCAGACGGGTGGGGCCGGCTGGTACGTGCGGCGTCGCTGTTTGGCAGCGACGCCGCTCGATCTGGCGGCCTCGCGTGAGCACGCGCCGCTAAAGGCAGACTACTCTGACGGACCATGGCATGGGCCACCGCAACTGAGCTTGAAAATAGACGGTTCGTAGCAAATTATGTATGCGTTAAGCCAGGTGAGATTCAGCTCATGCAAGTCCTGATACGCCACCAATTAAAAGCAAAGCCACTTCCGGTAAAGTCATTCAGAAGTTGAAAACAAGCTTGAAGGGTATTGTTCAAAATTCCCATACCTATCGTTCAAACGCAACGCTGATATTAAGACAAGAATAGTCTGGAACGAAAAGATACGTTTATCAATTTTGATGACACATTCACTGCAAAATATCAAAGGCACAAGAAAACGCTTTCCAAAACTAGCCCTGTTCCCCGCGGGGGGAACTCTGACGACCATGAAGGTTCCTTCGTACCAAAGCTTCCTTCTGTCCTCTTTCATCTGAAGTACATTGCCCACATGAACTCGACTCGTCTGGCGAGCCAGCGCGAGCACTGAAGAGATGCCAGGCAAGTTGCTCGACTTGAGCCTCTTGAGAGATCATCCAGATCCGAGCAATTATATAAAGCTCTGTTGAGAATATCACGTTGGGGCATTCAATCTGCACATAAAGCTACTGAAAGCACGTTTCGTAACGGAACGAAGTCTTTAGCGGAGTTCTTGAAAAGCAGCTGCCCGGAGGAAATCAAAGCGTAGTTTTAATGTCGTGGTGAGGCATATAACATCGCATACTACGTGCTACCCAGCTGTCTTGCTAAGCAGTTAAGCATTGCGTGATACGCAGGTTATCGGTCATCTCTCGGCAGGATACATACCAACTGGCGGACCACTGCAGCCCAGTAACGACTAACGTCAAGCTGCGAGCCATACCCACATCCCCTGACTCGTAAGAAACTAACTTAAACACCATGTCAGGCATGCGTTTGCGGACCGCCAACGCTCAACGCGCCCGGCCGACACCTCCGACTGCATCAGCAGCACAGCCGGATGACCGGATCAGCAAAGGCCCCGCCTCCCATCGACTGATCCCACCCGGCCGCACAGCGCCTCCGTCAAAACAGGAGCATCTAAATGATGTCGGCCGCCGCCCCCGCCCGGACCCGATCCTCGCGCGATGAAATCAGTTCGACTCGACGCATCCATTTCGTCGCACTGATTACTAACTGCGCCCATCGCTGCTACCACTGCTTGGTCGCCACTTCGAAGTACTGAGCGGAAGCACGCGTTCAGACCGCCTGACATGTTCCGATGAATTGTGAAGCAGCTACGGCGTTACGCACGCACGCACGCACGCACGCACGCACGCACGCACGCACGCACGCACGTACGCACGCACGCACGCACGCACGCACGCACGCACACACACACACACACACACACACACACACACACACACACACACACACACACACACACACACACACACACACACACACACACACACACACACACACACACACACACACACACACACACACACACACAGATAGATAGATAGATGGATATATATATATATATATATATATATATAGATATAGATATAGATAGATAGATAGATATATTATATATATATATATATATATATATATATATATATATATGTATATGTATGTATGTATGTGTGTATGTTCCACGCAATTTCGAGTGGTCATGGCCCATACTAAAAACCTGCACAGCCGTGTTAACTACAAAGGCTTTCCAGGCTCCACCGCCGGCCGCTCTGTACTCGTGCGTCGGACCGAACCGATGCAGACGGCGTTTCATCGACTGTTCTGGTCAAATTAAACGGCTTAATTGAAACGGACGGGCTGCGACGAGGCGATAAGCACGCTGCCACGGCAGATTCAAATCGGAAAGCCATTAAGCAGGACGCAGACAGCCCGCAGTCGGTGGCCACCGAACGCACACATAACAGCCGAATACACCGCGGCCAACGTCCTGCCAGCGGGGAAACCACACCCGTTCCGATCATGCTCCGATTTGTTTTTCATCCATTTCGGGCCAGGCCGGCAGCTGCCATCAATGCCTGCGGTTCACGCCAGCTTGCGTTTTCCATCCATTTCGGGTGAGGCCCACATCAGGCCTGTGGTTCGTGCCGGGTTGTATGCGAAAGGAGCGCAGTGTGAGGCAACGCTGGAACATCCAGCTTGCGAATGAATTTAATTTGACGAACATGCGTTCGCAATTAAAAAACCTCCGAAATTACCATCGCCGGCAAAGTATACTCTGGTTGCAATGGGACTAGAACAAAGTCGTCCTGTAAAGCGTATCTGCATCTCCAGAATATACAACGCCCACGTTCACCCGCAACTGCATAGTACGAGCATGCCTCAAAATGTTCAGCCACGACCCGATGTCATGTTCTGAACGACCCCGCAAGCCATTTTTCTCACACTACGCATGGCAGAATTCATGCCAACATCTTCTCAATTCCCTGGAGTCTAGCCTTCTCGGGAACAGTGATCATTATCTCAATATTTGGTCCGAGAAAAGATCACCAAAACAAGCCGACAAATCGCAAAGTTGTATTTCCAAATAGTTCACTCTCTAAGGATGGAACGATTACTTCAAATCTGCCGTGAGTCAAGTTCTTAATAAGTGAACGACTCCATGTTTCTAAAAAAAAGGAAAATAGTTCACTTTGTCCACCGTCAGCAGGCGAAATTCGGGCGCTCGAGAGCGGTGTGCTCTTGGAGCTTCACGACGCACACAGCTGCTGAAGCTATATGGCGTCGCCTGCCTCTCACCCTGGCAGGCAGGGCGGGCATCGCGGGGAATAGAACCCCGTACCTTTTGTTTACCAGATAAAAGACTAACCTTCAGGTGAAGGCGACAGTCACCTCTAACTCTCACTCCCACTCTCACACTCTCACACTCTTTCACTCTCACTCTGTCGGTCGGTCGGTTGATAGGTCAGTCAGATCCAATGTCCTAGAATTGCCGACTTTCGGTGTAAAGCAACATCCTATGAGGATTTTTCACTCCTTCTCCTCATATTATATGTGAATTTTGAACTCTTATCTGATATTGTCTAACCACACACACCAAACCCACATTTCCACTTCAGAGGCCCTAAGGTGTCATTGAAAACCGAGCCCGCTTGAAACCATCAAGCATAAACAAGGCTACATAGAACCTGGACACCCATGGCTACATCCTGCCTTACATACATCTGAACCATGTCTATGTATGCACAGAGCAAGGGCACCAGACACTTTCAAGCCCAAAAGCTTCAGCGACTCCAGCCACTTGCATACATGAAGTTTGGTTTGCTTCCAAAATGCATCGCAATCTTCAGCTATGTGACAAATGCAAGGTCTTCACGCATTCCATTTTATTCCAAAACAGATCCCTTACGGACGCAGGTGTCAAGTAATTGCCACAGAGACTCCAGTTCAACATAACGGGCCCCTGGCTGAAAGGTGATGGGGAGACCTTCAAAGATGACCATGCACCAGTTTTGTGGCCATCTATAAGTTAAGTTATGTTTGGAGGAGAGAGATTGCTTGGTGGAGCTTACTCACCATTGTTTTTGATAGAGGCCAACCATGACAATCAGAATAAGTTGTTCAAAGTGACTTGAGGGGTTTTAACTTGTGTGATGTTGGTGGTGATGGTCTGTCTGGTGTCAATAAGCTGACACAAATAAGCTTTGCCATGTTTTATCACAAGTGCTGCTGGCAAGAAATAGGTGGGGTATGTTAAGATGATGTTTAGCATATGGGCTACTCTAAGTTATCGCAAGAATCAGTGACTCACAAATGCTGTTGAGATACAAATAGTTTAGACATGAAGATACAAAGTTTCTTCCTTCTTTAGGCCAGGCTTACTTAGGCTTTTTATGTAAGTAAGCATTGGTATTTTACAAGAAACAGTGACATATTTATATTTCCTGACCCGTTCTTAACGGCAGCCAAAGGTATGGCTGTGGTGTCCGATTTGATGATGTGCCGATGTGCAGGATTCCAAGGCTCTTTTGTTCCACAGCTTTATGCTTGTTGAATTTTTGGTTCTTGTTCTTGTTGTGGGGTTCCTTTGCCTTGTTTCGTGTTAAAAACTCCTCCGGAGGGGCAGTGCGACATCAAAACATTGGTGTTACAGAGTTCTTAACGCTCATTACACTTTTCTGAAATTACTATTCTTAAGTGTATTCTGCTTCACTGTAATGACCAAAGATGTTCACCTAACATTTTTGTCATGTTTCTGATCTTACATCTATGCCAACTTGAAATGTATGTCATTGTTTGCTAAAGCAACTATCACTGGCCAACAAGTTCCAACTTTTGTTACTTGAATTTTTCACTCCTGCACGGTCTTTCAGAGATGGAATTTTTCACCCCCAACATAGTTCAAAAGCGTTTCTAGCTCACTGGGTAGATCCTAAGCCAACCATGAAGACACTTGTAACTTTTCAGTCAAGGAAGAGCCTTGTCTGTGCACATCGGCAAAGCCCTTCAGATGGCTTTCGAAGAAGCGCTTCAGGCGACTGCTCAGGATGAAAAAAGAGCGACAATTTGGCCCAAACCACGCATTTACAACAGGAACCAAGGCTGTCCTGCCAATGACTAATATGCCTATTCACCTGAGATCAGACCCGAGATTGGAATCTCAGAACTGGCAGATCGCCGGCTCCATCACGAAGCTATTGCTGGTGCGCGTGCCAAGTCACTGTATTTAGCTATCTTCGACACGTCGAATGGTCCGGCGGTGTACTGCACGGCGACACGGCGGTGTACTGCTACGAGAACACACTTAACCACAGAAGCATTGCCTTCCTTCTCTTACTGCTTGTTCACTGTAGTGGCATGATCCTCACTGCATCGTCCATCACGCATTCGACCACCACAGCAAAAGCGACGGTGGGGATCGGGAGAGTTTTCGAAGGCCGGGACGGTAGGGGCCGGGAGAAAGAGTTTTCGAAGGCCGGGACGGTAGGGGCCGGGAGAGAGTTTTCGAAGGCCGGGACGGTAGGGGCCGGGGGAGAGTTTTCGAAGGGCGGGACGGTAGGGGCCGGGGGAGAGAGTTTTCGAAGGCCCGGACGGTAGGGGCCGGGGAGAGAGTTTTCGAAGGCCGGGACGGTAGGGGCCGGGGGAGAGAGTTTTCGAAGGCCCGGACGGTAGGGGCCGGGGGAGAGAGTTTTCGAAGGCCGGGACGGTAGGGGCCGGCAGAGAGTTTTCGAAGGCCGGGGGTGATAGTGTCCACCGTTAGGGACGGTCAACACCACATGGTCGGCCCCACACAGTCCGCACCACACCGTCCGCTCCCCACGGTCAGCTCCATACAGTCAGCCCCACACGTCTCCATACAGTCTCACAGTCTCCATACAGTCAGCTCCACACCGTCAGCCCCACACAGTCGGCACCGCGCGGTCAGCTGCTCACGGTCAGCTTCACACGGTCCGCACCACACTCGGCAGCACAGTCGGCACCACAGTCGACACCGCGCGGTCAGCTGTAAACGGTCCGCACCACAGTCGACAGCACAGTCGGCACCACGGTCGGCACCGCGCGGTCAGCTCCACACAGTCATCACCATAGTTGGTACCAAACGGTCCGCACCACGGTCCGCACCACAGTCGGCACCACAGTCGGCACCACACGGTCGGCACCATAGTCGACACCACGCGGTCAGCTCCACGCGATCAGTGGAGCTGGGCCGAGTGACAGCGGCAACAGACCAGCCGGACCACGAGACGGGTCACCGGGTATAGTCGGCAGGTACGGAGCGGGATCGGGCTGGGACGGATCTGGCTCGGTGGGGGATTGTCACCAGTGCGGAACGGGAGTGGAATAGACCACTGACACTGGTGCCGAAGGGCGCTGGGTAGTGCATTTACAATACGTCCCCACGGAAAGCCCATGCCTTTGCGGAGCTATGGGGTGAAAAGAGTGGAGGCTGGAGGACAGTACACAGACGGGAAAGGGCTGACGACGCGAGGGCCGGCCAGCCGAGTTGATGTTCCCGCCGCGGAGCGCAGGCCGGCCGGCCGTAGCGCGCGGCTATTGTCAAATAGCATTCAGCCGTAACCGGTCGGAGGCAGCCAGCGGTATTACGCCGACGGCCGGACCAAACGGAAAACGGCCGGCACGCCATATCTCGCCCCGGCCGCGACGCCCAGACGGCTCACTGTTCTTGGACGCGAGACGACGACCTCATCAACTGCACGTCGCGAAAAGCAGCAATTTAAAACCGCGCTCTGCTCGCAACACCAGCAGGAAGAAATACCGGCGCGAACAGGGGTCCAGAAACACCAAAGGCAGTGCCATAAGACATCAGACGGTCGACAGGGCACTCCACGATGGCATAAGAAAAACTATTTATTCGGCTGTGACACGACGAAAAGTTGAGTCTCACCTGTTCCCCCATACGTCCCACCTCTTCATCCGCCCGTGCAACATTGGGCAGCAGATGTTTTAGAGTCTCAGACTTTTAGAGGTTTCCGCATGCTTTGCATTGTCTTACGTCATAATATTAAAAACGGTGTTTCTGGTGAGCAGGCACTGTTGTGCTGGGCACCAAGCTTGGTTCTACGACATGGCATCTTTACGAAAGCGATAACAAAATTGGATAGCAGAATGGTTGCAGGACATTTCCACACAGAAGGAACGGTTGGGTAATTCAAACTGTTAACTATTCTGCGGCGGCCATAATACGTAACTTAATTTCTTAATCTTATGATTCGATATGCAACAACCGTTTCATCAAAAAGGATGTTCGTTCGCAAAAAAAACGCTATTTTGTCACTCGGAACTCGCTCGACCGCCCGTCCATCCCACGCCCGGCCGGCCGTCCAACCCACGCCCGGCCGGCCGTCCATCCCTCGCCCGGCCGGCCGTCCAACCCTCGCTCGGCTGGCCGTCCAACCCTCGCTCGGCCGGCCGTCCAACCCTCACTCGGCCGGCCGTCCAACCCTACCTCGACCGTCCATCCCTCGCTCGGCCGGCCGTCCAACCCTCACTCGGCCGGCCGTCCAACCCTACCTCGACCGTCCATCCCTCGCCCAGCCGGCCGTCCAACCCTCGCTCGGCCGGCCGTCCGACTCCCGGTCGGCCGTGCCTTCATCCCTTGCTCTGTCAGCGCCCACTCACCGTCCGAGCATGGTGTTGGGCTCGCGTGTAAAGATGCTGGGGTCCACGATAAAGCGAGTGTGATCGACCACCAGGGTGACGCGGTCGCCCGAGTTGCTGATCACCTCTGCCTGGCCGGCGCTGCCGCTGTGGTGGCGCGCCGGGCTGCTCAGCGCCGCACCCAGCTCCCTGCCGGACCGGCCAGACGGTCACCACATGCCGAACGGCAGACGGCAGACGGCAGACGGCAGACAGCCGCGGCAGCCCCGGCACGTCACTGACAGGTGCAGCGATGAACGACGTGACACACAGCACGCGATAAAGAAGCGAGGATACACACCAGGGCGCAAGGGCCTTAAAAGAGGCGTGGCTCCAGTAGGTACAACACACGCGGTGTCAGCCGATAAGTGCTGGCAATGCACAGATAACAATCCACAGGAAAATCCGGCTCGAAATACGGCAAAGGAACAACTGGCGTCGGCGACCATGGCACGACTTCTCTAAGCAATGGCAGCAATTGCAGCCGACTCGGTATCTGCCAGGGTTTAGGCAGATCAGGTGCCTCCGTCGTTAAGTGGCCGTATCACGGATACGGCAAACGAGACGCCGGCGTCTCGTTGCCATAACAGTGGTGACGGTACAGAATGCATTTAGCGACAAGCGGACGGACAAAATGATTTCATTCGTCATTGACGAAAGCACTGCCTCGGTTCCTGGTCGGCGGGCACGGCGCCAGGCGTCTGATCAGGAGAAACAGCGAGACGAGGCGACTGATCAGGACACGGGAAGCGTGACGAGGCGCCTGATCAGGAGACAGGCAGCGTGACGACGTGTCATTAGTGGGGCGCCACAAAGCGTGTCGGAAGCGAGCCCGTCGCCTGTGCCGGGGCAGCCCGAATCGATGATGCCCAGCGCGAGACAGCGGAGGAGCGCGACCGACCACCCGTCGGCGGCGGCGGCGGCTGACGGCACGTGCTCGGTCACGCCGCCACCAGCGCGCCGGACGCCGGCGGCCGGTCGGACGGTCCGGCCGCTCTCCGCGCGCCGCCGCGATCGGAGCGGCCGGAGAGGATCATCGGCGTCATTAGCGGAGTCCGGCCGCCGGCCAAGCATCGATTGGCCTCGCCGCGGCCCGCGGGCGGCGCTGTCCGTCTTCACGCAGCCGGGACGCACGGATCGCGAGCGCGCCGTCGGCGAGCGCGCCGTCGGCGAGCGCGCCGTCGGCGAGGGCACCGTCGGCGAGGGCGGCCGTCGCACCCCCGCCCGGGCCGGAGTCGGCGCCGCCCGTCCAGAGGCCGTTTGGGGGGGGGGGGGGGCAGGAGCTCGGCGGAGTCGGCACTGGCCGGCCGCTGACCGGTGCCCTGAGCACGCCGGCCGACTCAGCGCACGGCTGTCCGCTGACACTGGGCCGGCTGAATGCCGTACATCATGGCTTCGCCCATCAGGTAATGACTGAGCTGATGCCGATGGTCCGTCACGAGCCTGCCTGTGCGGGCCGTGCACACTCCCGCCGCGGCACGGACGTGTCACGAGGCTGCCCGTAAGGGCCGTGCACACTGCCGCCGCGGCACGGACGTGTCACGAGGCTGCTTGTGCGGAGCGTGCACACTCCCGCCGAGGCACGGACGTGTCACGAGGCTGCCTGTGCGGGCCGTGCACACTCCCGCCGCGGCACGGACGTGTCACGAGGCTGCCCGTGTGGGCCGTGCACACTGCCGCCGCGGCACGGACGTGTCACGAGGCTGCCTGTGCGGACCGTGCACACTCCCGCCGAGGCACGGACGTGTCACGAGGCTGCCTGTGCGGGCCGTGCACACTCCCGCCGCGGCACGGACGTGTCACGAGGCTGCCCGTAAGGGCCGTGCACACTCCCGCCGCGGCACGGACGTGTCACGAGGCTGCTTGTGCGGAGCGTGCACACTCCCGCCGAGGCACGGACGTGTCACGAGGCTGCCTGTGCGGGCCGTGCACACTCCCGCCCGCGGCACGGACGTGTCACGAGGCTGCCCGTGTGGGCCGTGCACACTGCCGCCGCGGCACGGACGTGTCACGAGGCTGCCTGTGCGGACCGTGCACACTGCCGCCGCGGCACGGACGTGTCACGGGGCTGCCCGTGTGGGCCGTGCACACTGCCGCCGCGGCACGGACGTGTCACGAGGCTGCCTGTGCGGGCCGTGCACACTCCCGCCGCGGCACGGACGTGTCACGGGGCTGCCCGTGTGGGCCGTGCACACTGCCGCCGCGGCACGGACGTGTCACGAGGCTGCCTGTGTGGGCCCCGCCGCGGCACGGACGTGTCACGAGGCTGCCCATGTGGGCCGTGCGCACTGCCGCCGCGGCACGGACGTACCGCGAGAACGAGAGGGAAAACGCACTGGGCGATGGCGTTCACTGTTCGCTCTTTACGGATTCATGCAAATACTGTGGTCATTCAGTGTCGAAACTTCCTCTTCGCCGGTCGAGCACTGAAACCCTGCATAATCTCAGGACGCACGAAGACGTGCTGGGAATGTGGGCGGACAACGGAGCACCGCAGAAATGTTATTAAAGAAACACTCAGGACTCCGAAGGGAAGAAAAGGATACATTGGAGTGAGACGAATTTCTTGGTTGAAAGGAAAGGAACAACTGCACAAAAAGCTTAACGGACGCAGCTTACATCTGAAACTAGCACAATGCAAGAGCAATACGGAAGCCGATAGCAGACTACGCTAAATTTTGCATACAGCTGTCCGCCAACCCATCTCATATATGGTTAACGCATTTACACAGCTTGACTGCCTTTCAGCGGTGCTATAAAACTTACAGATTGAAGTCGGTGAAAATTGTCTGGTAGTGACTTGCGCGATACTACGCTGGATAGCAATGAAACTCAATATCATGCCCACACCCTTACCCAGGTCGGGCTCAATGGCAACGACCTGGTTAAACCGTGGTCTCCTAGAAGTTTCCGAGAGCTCCTGAAACAACTGAACTATTTTCTTTTCATGTTGAGTGGCCCTACTGGAACGCAACTATTGAGCACCTAGCTTTATTTTTGAATACTCCCACTCTTTTCTGGGCATAGAACTGCCCAGAAGTCGACCTGGAGATGGCCGTGCCTCCAGCCGCTCAAGACAGACGAAAAAGCAAAGGTTGTACAATTTGATATCGAGTTCAAATCCACAGTCAAAGCGCAACGACCATTCACACGATTTTTCCTTATTAAAAATGCACCGAGCATGAACACTACTTTGAGTATCGTGCACTAGTGTTTGCACTAGTGCACTAGTGCACAGGCTACTAGTGTTTAGACAGTGGGCAACCCCAAAAACAGAAAAGTGATCAAAACGGTCAAAGTAAACGGCGGTCAGCCTCGCCAATGCCTCCGGCGGTCTCGCCAAGAGCTGAACTGTAGCAGGAAAACGGCCCGCCATCTAGCGACAGCGTACTTGCGGCTACAGGGTGCAGGGACACCATGCCCTAAACGAGTACGACTGCACCGCACGCGCTCAGTTCTGGGGCTGCTTATCAGACAGTACAACGGCCAGTCCAACTTCGCGGAAAACCTATGGCTTTCCGATGAGGCCCACTTTAAAATAAGCGGCTGCGTTAAAGGAACTGTTTCACATCTGGAAATATTGATGCAAGCACCATGGATGATGAAATAAGCCCAATTATAACTATTGGTATGCTAAATGGAAAACACTGCTCTAGACAAAACAAAATTTTCATTTAGCAAATATTCTCCTCAATACATCATTGTTTGATGGCATCATGGAACCGTCATTAAATTGTGTATGATGTTAGAGGTGTTGGTAAACTGGCCGTGCGAAATTGCCACCCTAGCGCTCACTTGTAGTGCTTCAATTCGCTGAGAAATGGCAGCGGCGGTGCTAGACGTGTTTGCTTAAGGAAATATTGTTATGTGCTCGTGTTGTGGCCCTTTCTCATGGTGTTCGTGCATATCTGTCCGCAAGTTTAAGTTGTACACTTGCATTCCCATACTCGGCCATGACACTGTTCTTAAGTTATTCGCTTATGAGTATTATTTCGACAAGTCTAAGTCCTAAGTCTAAGTGAGTTTCGACTTCTTTACAAGTCTTAACACCGTACTATCCGGTGCCAACGCCCAATTTATTACATTATGTAATATAAAAGTTTATTCTTGTTTGAATCTTCCACTGCCCGCAAAACATTAATCGAAGGCCAATAGACGTCCGTCCTATCTGGAAACCGTGATAACGCACGGCAGACATGAACGACTTGACGACCCTTTCTTCTCGAACGTCGCATGGCTAATGGGGTGGCATAATTTGAATGACCATTCTGAAGCGTCATGCATGCCTGAGTGATCTTGAAATAGTCCAATGAAATGAAATAGTCTGCACGAAAACATTTTGCACATCTTCGCGGGCGTATAGCTCAGAAACTAGAGTGTTTTAGGTCTTAAGAAGGCCAGGATTGTGAATTGCATCAAATGATCTTCAATGTTTCGGTTGAAAACCCCATACAACTGTGAAACACACCTTTTGATAGTCCGCGTGACAGACTTTGGTCTTCAGCCAAATCGGACGAGATCGGCGAGGCTCCACCGCGCAGTGAAACGTGCGTAGCGTGGTGAGCGTTCCGCAGCAGCGGTGCTTTCTGCCCATGCTGGTCTGAAGACGGCGACGGCAACGCTGACGGCCGGCGCGCGGCCGAAGGGTCTGCCGACGGGTCCTCACCAAGCTTCGAATTGCCCGGAAGAGGAAGTTGGGCGACAGAGCTCATTCAAATGGTCTCAGCAGGACAGCGCAACGGCTCACACGCCAAATGGGCGGGGAGTGGCCTCGAGGTCACTTTGGCCAGAGGATCCTCTCATCGAAAGAACATGGGAGCTGGCCATTCCATTCACACGGCTTGAGCCACATATCTTTTGCTGCGAGGGCGGCTAAAGCTCGCGGGGTATGCGAGGAGCTCCCACACAGTGGAGGAGCTCAAGGCAGGCATCGCAGCAGAAGCACGCCGTGTAGGGCCGACACGTGCCGGACAGTACTGATCTCCAGGTAGCAACGTGCGGAAGTGCCCTCAGCACCATAGGGGGGGGGGGGGGGGGGGAGGGGGGCATGATGAACATATCTCCTAATGTGTTTTACGTGGGTTTTGGACAAAATGGCTTTGTCGCTATCAAAAGTGAGTTGTTTATTCTGTTTAAAAAGTTGTCCTTGGCGTGGCCGTTATACACTATAAGGTTGTACGGGTTGTCACAAGTTGCACACTATCGGCACCCCTATGGCGAGAACTCCATGCGTGCAGTTCGAGCAGCAGATACCTGGTACTGTGCATATATCTGCCCTGGACCTGTAAGCGCCAGTTTGTTGAGAGCGCCCAGCGCCGAAGCCACCCAGCTGGCGCGTTTGTGCGCACCGGACGAACACATGCGGTGCCTCAGAGCTGACCGAGCGCGCACACTGTTGACAGCGGGCAATGGATGCGCTCGCACAGTGCGCACGGCGCAAGGTCGATGACCTTGTTTCTGCACGCTTCTCGGAAATTGCGAGGCGTGCGCAGATTGGTTATAACTAGGTAACTGTATGGAAGCCCGAAGCATTCTGAGCTTTCAACTTGCACATTCATAAAGCAATGGTTGAGCAAGGAAAGGCACGCAAAAATAAACGCCGAACATAGGACCAAGAGCATATTCCGTGGTAATGGCTTAGCCTTCTGGGCGCGCAGGCTGCCCTAGTCGTCTTAGGTCAGATTTACGAGTTGGAGTTTGAACGTTTTCCAGAAAGCATAAAACAACGCCGTCCTTGAAAGGAACGTTCCACATTTAAATGTCGAGGCAAGCAGCAAATGTGATGGAAAAAGCTCACTTGTGACTAGTGGAGTGCTCTTAAAGGGGACGTTCCACGTTTGAAGCTATTGAAGCAAGCATCACATACGATGGGATAGGCTCACTTTCAACTATTGGAGTACTTTTAAGTGGAAAACACCGCTCCGGGCAACACAATTTCCCTGTTTAGTAAATATGTCCCTAAATACGTCATTGCTTGATCACGTCATTGTACCTTGCATTGTACATTGTACCTTGATTGAGAGACAACTGACGGCAGACATAGGAGCCCACCCGACATGCGGCGCAGGCGACAGGCCGCTAGCCTCGTGTGGGGCTCTACGCCCCCCCCCCCCCCCGCGCCCTCGGATACCCTGACCAAAATGGAATGTTGGGATGCACTGTGACTGACCCGCGCGACGCGCCCCTCAGCCACAGGATCCGATCGACCCGGGGTCGCGGGCGAAGGGGTACGGCAACCCCGATAAAACGAGGATGAGGGGTGGTGAGAGGGCGGGATACGGGAATGCCAGTGAAAGGGGAGGGAGTGGGCAAGACAGGGAGCAGAAGGTCACGTACCGGCAGAGTCGCTAAGCCCCGCAATGAACAGTTTGTGCTGTCTACCCGTTACTGAAGCTGGGACCCGAGCCTCTGCGCGACAAGAGCGCATCTCATCGGGCAGACGAGATTCCCCTAGTGACATCAAACACGAGTCAGAACTGGACCTTTGTCACGTTCACGTTTTATTGTCACGTTCTGGGAATGGCGTTAACGATCCAGCGAAGAGGTCGACCAAACTGAACTAAGACAGTGTCAGTCACAGAAGAGGCGGAGGGGGGGGGGGGCAGGTGCGACAGATCCCGTCATTGCCCTCCGCCGAACCACACCCCTCATCCCTCCAGAAGCCAACGATGATTTTATTTATGGGCACTGTACTGAGGTGATGATGTTATCATATGACAAGCATGTGATCAACAGGAGTTCGACCACTTAAGTCCTAGTAATATACCACTACCACCTGTCCGTGCTACCAGCAGTCACAAAAGCGGCCTTCCAACTTCGGCAAATCCTGAACACCTGAAACACTGTCAGTCTTGCACGTTGTCTTCGGCTGGAACGCTATCTACTAAAACATTGCGTAGTGAAAGCACCGCCAAGTGTTACCCGCCTCTGACCGGACCCGAGTTGAGGCCAAAATGACTGAATGTATCGCACGAAGAGAAAATTTCAGCCAGAAGAAAGGTGCCGAAAGAATCATGAAAGTACGCCGCAGCATTCTAGATATTAACCCCTAAGCCATTTTCCGCAAACCGCAACCCAAGAATTTTGTTTGAACCCTTAAATCACGGGACTGAGTTAATCAATTAGTAAAAGTACGCACCTCACGGCTAAAAATTGGTTAAATCATTCATCGTGGCGCTTCGCCATTGTCAGGTCTACACCATGCCGCCACTTCCTTCAGTACTGTGACGGATGTGATACAATGTATCACGTACCGCCACCATGACTGCCATATAAATCAGTTCATTATTTCCCACCGAAGACATGCAGATTAGGGCCGTTTTGTAAAGTTGCACCAGCCCCATCCAAGCCGACATTATTCTCAGCCCTGTATATTGACCGGACAGCTGATTTCACACTGTAACACCTGCCTCGTGAAAGTCGATAATGGTTCGTCAGTACCGGCACTTGGGCGCCGGCCCGGCCGGTTCGTCAGTAGCGGCACTTGGAAGCCGGCCCGGCCGGTTCGTCAGTAGCGGCACTTGGACGCCGGCCCGGCCGGTTCGTCAGTAGCGGCACTTCAGCGTCCGCCCGGCCGGTTCGTCAGTACCGGCACTTGGACGCCGGCCCGGCCGGTTCGTCAGTAGCGGCATTTCAGCGTCGGCCCGGCCGGTTCGTCAGTAGCGGCACTTCGGCGCCGGCCCGGCAGGCTCGTCAGTACCGGCACTTCGGCGCCGGCCCGGCCGGTTCGTCAGTAGCGGCACTTCGGCGCCGGCCCGGCAGGCTCGTCAGTAGCGGCACTTCAGCGCCGGCCCGGCAGGCTCGTCAGTACCGGCCCTTCGGCGCCGGCCCGGCCGTTTCGTCAGTAGCGGCACTTCAGCGCCGGCCCGGCCGGTTCGTCAGTAGCGGCACTTCAGCGCCGGCCCGGCCGGTTCGTCAGTAGCGGCACTTCAGCGCCGGCCCGGCCGGTTCAAGCCGATTTCATCCTCCGCAGCCCCGCTGCTGAGCGGCGCAAGAGGCACGTCGCGTTGGCATTGCATTTAACCACGTAACGACCGCCCGAGCCAACTCAAACAGCGCACGATCCCACAACGACCAGCCCTGTCCGAGTAAAGCACGGGCATTCGCCTGACGGTACGGGACTCGAGCGCCCTGAGATGCCGCCGGCCTTCTGCCCCCCAGCGACGCACGGGCACGGGCAGGAACAAGGGTACGATCTACCACTGACTCTAGTGAGGTCAGCTCATAGAAGCAGTTGGAAAGCAACCCTGAACATGCCACGCAGCTGTGCATATTTGCTTTCGCATCCCAGAGCGAAAATAATAGCACTTGGTGAGAAAGTGGCAGCCGAGGAGTGTCCGAGCTATCGCGAGCGAGCGCTTGACTCCGGTGGGAGCACACGTCGCTGTTTATGCCAGACAGCGACCGGCACCCCCACGAATCCGTGTCCCTCACACAACACAGCCGGCGGTGCCTCGGTCGGCAGGCTCTCCGGGAACCGAGACACCGTCGACATGGCACGGCCGACGGAGGACAGCGAGCGGCCAGACGGAGGGCGGCCAGAGACCAGACGCGCTCTTACCTGCCCCGCACTGACGGCCACGACATGGGGGACGAGGGCTTGCGCTCCCACCTGCTTCGCACCGACGGCTGCGACATGGGAGGGGGCGAGGGCTTGCGTCTCACCTGCTCCGCACTGACGGCCGCGACATGGGGGGGGGGGGGCGAGGGCTTGCGTCTCACCTGCTCCGCACCGATGGCCGCGACATGGGGGACGAAGAACCCGGCGTTGGTGAGTCCGAGCTTCGGCGACGTACCAGGCACGGCTTCGGCTTCGGGGACGACCTGACGACAATGGCCGCACATCAGTCACGGACATGGCGCGCCTCGCCGTAAGAACGTGCCCCAGCGACGTCCGCACACATCAGTCACGGACATGGCGCGCCTCGCCGTAAGAACGTACCCCAGCGACGTCCGCACACATCAGTCACGGGCATGGCGCGCCTCAACGTAAGAACGTGCCCCAGCGACGTCCGCATACAGTCGTGTTCGTCGTTCAGCCTCAGCGTCAGAGCCCCGACAAGTTTGAAGACACTCCGGCGAGGGAGACACTGGGTGTGAAAATGCAGGCACTCAGCTGCCGCAGCCCAGTGTCGGTTTCGATGCCCCGTGACAGCGCGCCTACTCTGACGACAGTCCGGTGGTCAATCCCCCGTGACAGCACGCCTACTCTGACGACAGTCCGGTGGCCAATCCCCCGTGACAGCACGCCTACTCTGACGACAGTCCGGTGGCCAATCCCCCGTGACAGCACGCCTACTCTGGCGACAGTCCGGTGGCCAATCCCCCGTGACAGTACGCCTACTCTGGCGACAGTCCGGTGGTCAATCCCCCGTGACAGCACGCCTACTCTGGCGACAGTCCGGTGGTCAATCCCCCGTGACAGGACGTCTGCTCTACTGACAGCTCGGTGGGGTGGAACAGCGGCGCCCGCCTGGGACCGCGCAGCGCAGTACCCCTGTGTGCTTGTGATACGCATAGCGATATGTGTCACTTTTTTGATGACGATGAGCACCTTTTTTAGTCATCTTATCCGTAGAATGAAGACATGCGAGGCTTCCATATTGGGATTCTATATTTGAGCCCCTTTAACATGCATTGATTTGTGGACCCAAAGACCCGATGCGTCCAACAAACAGATCATACCGCAGACTGGCTCCCATCTGCTTACGCTACTAGTGTGAACTGAACGTTATTGAAAGTTGTTGATACCTCAAGTCACGCAATACGTAACGTATATGCAAAAAGCTGTGGAAAACCTCACCGATATGAAACCAAAAATAACTTGGAATAAGCATTTATCCTTTTCAGGGCTAGTTTCTTATTACTTTTGTACACTTAACACTTCAGGAAACATATATCACAACACATGTATCATATACCGATGCTAGCAGAGGCATTGGAAACGATACCACATCACCTTTATGCACGGGGCCTTAAGCCTCTGCTGGGAGGTTACTCCGCCTCGAGCTGGCGCGGTTGCTGCGTTTCACCTCCCGCATTTATGTATAACATTTAGAGGACACCACCAGAAATATCTCGCCATTTTTCTATGATTCCCTTCTTCTGAGGCCCACCTTTTAATGTCATCATTCGTTCGGCATCTAAGAATTGCTTGATTTGTGGAAGGAAATCATCTAGAGAAAAATGATTATATTGAGCCGCTCCAAACGTACAATTGCCCGGCCAGGAAGGTGGCGGAATCTACCACACATGGAGCATTCCACACACTAAATATAGCCGCACGCATGTCAAGTAGAACACGGATAGACATGGATCTACCACACATGGAGCATTCCACATAGTAAATATAGTCATAGGTGTGTCAAGTAGAGCACGGATAGGCATCACATACCCGGGATAGAAATATATCGCACCAAAATGCATGAACCAACTGAATGCTGAAGAGGCAATGGGCCAAAGTGTCATCTCTCCCACAATACGTGCATTGTTGTGATTCTGCAATAAGCCTTACATACAAGAACCGTTTGATAAGAATGTATCTGTGCACTACCTGAAATTGGAACGACTGGGGCTGTGTAGGCACTCAACAGTAGTAAGGTATTTCAAGATGTTCGGACCGAGATTCGGGAGCTACACTGTCGACTTCCATTTTTGCAACGCTTTCCGTTCGCGAGTAATCCAAAGGGGCATTAATCTTCAGTTTTGAGCGTTATTAATAGCTTCCTATGCATGACTAATCAAGCCTTAACCTTGGCTTCTCTCGCCTGCATAGATATACATTCATGCATTCTTCCATCGCGCAAGGCTTCCATCTTGCGGGAATTACACTAACAAGTATCTCCCTCTTATCAATTTCGCCTTGTCATGTTCTGCCTTGCAGAAGATAACTATACACCTTTGGAATGTATCTAGAAGTAGTAAGCCTGCCTTTAGAAACCAACTTATCGCAAAATCTCGTTCTGAACAATATCTCGGCGGGAGAGGGATCAACGCGATGCTGAAGTTTGTGTTGATACTTAGACGTGAAGTTAAATAGTTGAATGACCCAACAAGTATCAATGCATTGCCTAGGCCGTGCATTGAAGTTGCACCTAAGCCGTCTTGCCTAACAGACTGGCACCATGCACGCGAGTCACCTTTGGTGCACACCACGCAAGATATACTTAATTGTAAGACTTTGGATCTGGTTGAGTTGGGGATACGAATGGGGATCACTAAGCATGTTAGTATGTAATTCAGGTAAGATATTAGCCATTTTCACGACGGATTAAAGCACTGAAACGTTTTAAAACGTTCTTAAAATGCTACTATAAGTTTCAGTGTATACTTAACACTTTGACAAGGAAAAGGTTGTTTTCAGGATATTTTAAACACTTCGACAGGGAAAAATTGGTGGTTCTATGCAGTTTTATTAACATGCAACAGGTAAATCACATGCACCCAAAGAAAGAACAAATGCTTTATTTAAGAAGACCATTCAAAGACACTTATTAAGCCTATATATTAAGTTCACCCATATTCTATGAAAATGCTATGCCTGGCAAACAGTAATGTGCATCGGTCAAGTGTGGTAGTACCGGCTGCCCTCTTATTGTTTCCATCCGTGGTGTGCGGCGAGGGGTAAGCTTTGAGAACCATTTCATCCCAAGACCACTCATTTTTAATCATGTTATGGTACGTAAGCCCAGTAAGCTCTGAAACCACTGTAGGCAAGCTCTGTTATTACTGAAAATAAGCCCTCAAAGTGCTGCATGCCTATGAACCGGGATGCTACAAGGAAATAGAAGTTTCCTTTGCCACGTTTGCATCAGAGATGCCATCGAATGCTTTTAAAAAGTTTTGAAAAGCTTCGGAAGGAGATCTAGTATCATACCTCTCCATAAAAACATGATTCTATTTACAGCAGCTATCCGTAATTTAAAGGGAATGTTCCACATTTTAAGATATTCAGGCAGGCATCAGATATGATTGGAAAAGCTTACTTGTAGCTATTGGTAAGCTTTCAAGGTTCAGAAACGACGCTAAGTAGCAAAATTTCAGAAGTTTGTAAAAATGCGCCCCATTTCGTCACTGTTTGCGAATGCGCCAGCGGCCATGCTGTCTTGACCACAAGCAGAAAACAGCCTGTAACATCAAG